GAAACAGAAAAAAAGAAATATCACATGTATCAATAATAATATATTTAGATGGCTATATCTTTATAAACAAATGATATGCAGTCTGAGCAGCGATTACTTCTCTTTAGAAGGTTGTCTTGATTTAATGAAAATTGAGTTCTGATAAGTGATGAGAGATAACTGATTAATGCATTTTGTTATTCTCTTTTTTTTGTAATTTCATATATGGCCAAATATCATAGTTTTCTTCTCTTTTTGTCCCTGCCCATTTTGTTTTTTGTTGTTGTTTTTTCGGTATAATTAAATTTTGTACTTCTAACAAATTTGATCATTAGCTAATTCTTTTCTACTCAACAACATTGTATTCAGCAAAATCTTTGCTTTCCTTCTTATACACTGGCTGCTAACCAAGAGTTGAGAGCCTAGCCTACCCTACTATTTAACCCATAGCTAGGATTCATACTTTTCCAAGGGCATCTGTTCAAAATTAAACATAACAAACTTGGCTGGAATTTGAACTCAACTCACTGATTTTACCTTCTGCACCAAGAGCTATTATGCTACCTGTACATTCCACACAGAGCACCAATTTTTCCATATTCAAATCCTTATGTTCCTTAGCAAAGACAATATTTTTTTAGTTATTAACTGAACTGATAAATAGCTTTTTTATGGTTACTTATTTTATGTGCTCTGTCTCTTCAAGACATACGTGATTATTATTCTCCACAACTTTCTATCCTTTCTAGCTTTAAGCGATGTTTGCCTCCTTAATGATGAATCATGTTCTAAAATTCCATATTCTGTCATCCATTAGCACAAGCTCCTTAGGTAGGTTACTCTTCATTTTCCTCTGCCCATCTCTATGACTATATGTCCTGTGAGTGTCAAATTCGCCAAACCTTCTTTCCATATTATGTTTCTCAGAAATTTCAACTGTCTCTTTTTGATAGTAAGTATAAGAGTTTTTTTTGTTGTCATTTTCCTTAAAAATTCCTTAGAACGTACTTAAAATTTTATGGCTCCACAACTTCTTAATTCAGACTTTTGTCGCTGTTCTCTGACTGGGCAAAATGGAACGGAAGGACTCTTTCCATTGCACATCTCATTCCACACTTTGAAAATTGTTGAGATAATTTTCACAAGACCAGAGTACATATATCCTGGCCTTCATGCTGGAATCAGTGTTTAATGTATGTTCTTCAACTTCCTGCCATGTTTCTCTCTTCAGACGATTAACAGAAAAACTCTGATGTATGCTTGACACTGTAGATTCCAAACCTCTGGCAGAACCTTCTTCATTGCACTAAAAAGGAACGCTTGGTAGAATAATGATGCTAACATAACTATGGTTTTTGGGGACTGTCCTTGGATCATATGTACGCATATGGGAAACTCATATTTAAAAAGATTTTGTGTCATATCCTGCCACTGTTGGGAGGCGAGTAAATACCAAACAAGATAATTTTCATGTTCCAATTAAACCACTCACTAATCTTCCTTAGCAGGCCACAAGACTCTACATCCTGCAGGATACAGGCCTTGTGAGGCTTTGCAATAATTCTGCAGACACTGCAATTGTTCCACTCACGCACTCAAACAATATCCAGAAACGACTGACCAGATTCTGCCATTTTGACAATATCCTCCTTTGTTGCACTTGACAGTGCCATCCTCTTGGGCATTTTAACCCAAACCTACAAAAGAAATGTCTGTTAATTCTGTACCTAATACCTGCCAAATAGTGATTTGCACACTTGTAGCAATTATAAGTTTGGAAAACTGAATGTGTATCTGATATGACAGCTTTAGCAAAAATGATATTACGAAACTCAGCATGTTTCACCGCATTATGACAAATGCAACAATTGAAACACATAGCATTTACATTAGTTTTGCATTCCAAGCACAACTAGACAGTAAGCATGCAAGTATCTTTTATTAAACATTTTGAATAAAGGGCAAATGAGACAATTTTCTTTGGCTGAGCATCAGTTTTGACCAATACAAGGAGATAAGTAATAATGGATTAATGGACAGTGGTTCAGATTGAGGAATCAGAGAGCCAAGTTCAAATTCCAGTCGAGTTCATTACATTCATTTAATAACCTTGGGAAGGGGGTGAATTTATCTTTTCTGCCCTCACGTAAATATCAGGACAGAGAGAGTTCTATAGCCTTGAATGGTAACCAGTCTACAAGAAGGACAACTGAATTCAAAATCTTAAAAGAGCCATTTGAGAGAATGGCGGTACATTATGTGCATCATTTCTCTGTATTTGGCATCTCTAAAAAGTGTGGTTACTTCTACACAAGACTTCACCATTATAATAAAATCATATGTGTGGATATTACTGGCTGTTCAGTTTTAAGAACTGAATTGTAATTTTATACATTGACAATAATGGAAGATCCCATTTTAAATTGATTCTTTTATTATTATTATATTATTTATTCTTTTTATTAATTTTGTTTTGGTCATGGTTAGATATCAGATATTGGTACAAGGGAAAACAGGCATTCTAGGACAGTTGCGTACTGGACATTTTCGTCCCGGACAATTGCATATCAGATAATTGCATCCCTTGACATTTGTGTCCTTAGACAAATGTGTCCCTGGATATCTGTGTACCTATGATAATTTTTGAAGTTTTTAGAGGCAATTACCATAATTTTTGAAAAAAAGCATAGGTAGTAATTTTTTTAAAAAAGAATAAAATAAAAAAAATTAAAAGTTTATTTTTGTTTAAAATACAGTGACAGTGTTGCAACATTTTTCTGCACATTGTTAGTATGTTTTTTGTTTCTTATGATAATGGTAGCTGTAATTTTCCTCATACACAAATATTTTTTCACCAGTGTTTGATTTTTCAGAACTTAGCCATGGGTTCCAAATAAAAATGTAATCTATAAAATCCAGAATCTATTAGATGTTTGTGGTACACACTGCTGAAGTGAACAGAAGCTGAAATTTTTCTCTCTTTTTTTATTTATGGTAACTACTTTTCTGCTTGCTTAGAGATTGGTGGGCAAATTTCTATATTAAATAACTCTTAAAAAAAAAAAAAGGTAACTTAAAAAAATGGTAACTTCAAAAACTTATCTGATTCACGCAATTATCCAGGGACAAATTTGTCTAGGGATACAAATGTCCAGTGACACAATTTTCTTGTAGGCACTTGTCTGAGACACAAATATCCAGTACACGATTGTCTGTCCACCCCTGAACCTATTCATAAAATGGAAGTACAATACTTCTGATATTAGACACTTACTGATAGGATAGCCTCCTCAGAAATGACTTAAAGGTTTGGATCCCTGATTATCAGTTGGATAACACCAACCCAGAAAACATTTGCCTTCCGCACTCATACAAAGGAGAGGAATAATTTCAGAAAGAAGATTCAGTAGTGATATCTTGAGTACACACATTTTGTCTACCGAGAAATTAGAAATCAATGTAACAGAACTTCTTGAGTCAGAAATATCATGACAAAGCTGGGAGCCCAGGCATCAAGACATGCTCACTCACATACAAGTATTAAAAGACCCACTGGGAAAAAGAACCTACTCAAGCCTGTTGGGATATTATTGTTATTAATAAATAAAATTAAAAATAATAATGAATATCATGAATAAAATAAAACAAATAACATTAAAACTTTGTTTAAAATAAATTAAATAAACCAAAATAATAAAAGTTTGCCCAGAATGCAACAGAAAACAGACTTTGCACCAAAAACTCTGAATTCAGTCTCTTTTGCTACCAATCATTGGTATGATGTGAGTGACCCCACAACCTAAATTATTGAAAAAGACTAAAGAAAAAAGTTATTTACTCAAAGAAATTTAACATTTATACAATCCAATAACATTTTCAAATGCTTTCTTAGATTTTTTTCCAATTTTGTCTTAAAAATGTGCCAAATTTTGTCTGTTTCCAGCGCGTTTCTTTCTGACACTCTCACATGGCTGGATGAAAGTAGATATATTTGTATTGGTAGTGTCTGCTTGAAAGAGCAACATCTGTCAAATGTAATCATAATTTCAGTTCTTGAAATTGGGTGTTGAGACTTTTGACTGCTGGGAAATATTATTATCAGCCTCCTTCTTTTCACAGTTTCAGACATTTATTTTCTCAGATGATTATCAGCTAGGTGAAGTTTCTCAGATGATTATCAGCTAGGTGAAATGGCAAGTGGCTTGGGAAAAAATGACAAAACAAAGATCAATGTTCTCTATAAGACAATGGTCACTACCCTAAAAAAAAAGCAGAGTCACAAGATGTGAAAGAGAAGACATCTGTTAGATTATTCACTTTCCCCTTCCCCTATGCTTCATCTCCACTTTGCAGTAGGCTATAGCAGTAAATTACAACCTGAGAATAAAATTTGCTTACTGCTACAAATTGTCATGGTTTTAATTTGTGGGTAACAATCAGGCCAAAGGGTCATTTTTAATATTTGACTGGAAGAAGTGTAGGGACATTTTTATTACTAATAAAAAAATAAAAAATATAAAATAATAATAATAATGAATATCATAAATAAAATAAAACAAAACAAATAACATTAAAATGTTGTTTAAAATAAAACCAAAAAGAAAAATAAAAGCTCTCCCAGAATGCAACAGAAACATTTCTTGTCTGAAAATGGACTTTGCACTAAAAGATGCTGAATTCAATTTCACCACCGACTGTTGGAAGGCAAGACATCCATCTCCGCACCATGGAACACTTGTAACCAAAAATACAGACACCAATACACAAAAATAAATAAAATTGTATGATTTTAATTTACAATTTGTAAATTAAAATCATACAATTTTATTGACATGCTTTTGAGTTTTATTTCTGTGTATAGACACAAGGTTATTTTTGCTGGTATGATGTGAGAAACCCCACAACCCCAATGAAATGAGAAAAATATATGGTATGCAAGTAAATATCTTTTATAATAGGCATAAGGGACAGTTTTCTTCTTTAGCTGAGCATTAGTTTGAATCACTGCAGAGTCATAAGTAATGGTAACTCTATCTATCTATCTATCTATCTATCTATCTATACAAGATGCAAAGGTAGGTATACAGTAATCAAAAACTAAACATGCACAAAACATATTGTATTGATTATAGAAACATATCAATAATAACATATCAATAATATACATACCAATCTCTGAAATCTTCAAACTGTTTGGCCCTATCATTCACACAATCCTCTTTTCCTATATTAAAAATTATGAAAATAAAAATATTCAAAATAATTTTAATGAATTAAATGAATTCTAACATTAAATGAATCCATGAAGCACTATTATGATACTGGTAATATTGGTATAATACTTACTGTATACCTTCTTTTACAGCCCCTACATATATATATATATATATATATATATTGTTGTATTCTTAAAGAAGGTTACAAACAGACAAAGGTGGTATTCGAGTGAAAGGAATAGCAACATGGGTGTAGATGAAAGAAAGAGAGGTTTATTGTAAAAGACAATAGACTACTGAAAGACAGGGAATTGGTTAACAGACTAGTAATCCCTGAAGTAAGGATATTTATCTTACCTCCCTGTGAGGCAGGATGTGGTACAAGGCTGTTTTTTAATGCAACGGTTAAAACTGAGCTCATGGGCTTGGGCAAAAATTCCCCATAGACCCCATAAAAAACGGGGTTATGTAGCTGTCTACCACCCCTCTCCGCCCGAAGGCAGAGTGTTGACTAGCTTAGCTGGAGACGAATGTCCAACTAATTGCCATAGCAAGAATATTTTCCAACCGCCCCACGTGGTCAGATGTGGCACAAGGCCAAATTTAACATGGTGTGTCCGAGCCTATGGGCTCGGACAAAAATTCCCCATATACCCCGTATACATGGGCTTGGGTAGCTGTCTACCACCCTAGATGAGGTTCTGCCCTTCAGCTGGAGACAAATCTCCAACTAATTTCTGTAACAAGTCCCCAGGTATATCTTGTGCTCACTATATATATCTACTGATATAGTCAGTCCACATAGGTGTTAGGGAGTGTGGGACATTCCATTAAATATATATATATATATATATATATATATATATATAAAAGGAAGAGGTTATAGTAGTTCCAATGAGAGAAAAGTGTGTATATTAAAAAGAAGAGAGATACCACAAACGTTTTTGGTTATAATGGTTTTTTTCAAAACAATATTATGCTTTATTTTCCATAATTTTACTACACACGTTTCTGGTCTTGGAACCGTCATCAGGTAAAGGGTGGAGATTTACACATATTATTAAAACATATTATTAAAATTAATTAATTTTTTTCTTTATGTTTTTCGATGTTAAATATTCTCAATATGAGACATTCTCTTTTTTATGTGTTAGTAATTCGAATTTCTTTCTTATATGTATATATATATATATTGCAGTTTTTTATATATAATGTAGAAGGTAGTTGGGCATTTGAAAAAATAACTTGTTATGTATTTTAAGATGAAATTTTGAAACATGAAAAAAAAGTAATTAGTTCCAAATAGCAACATCTGAATCTTAAATGATGCTACTCCTTTCTTTGTCAGCAAGTCCACGGTTTGTACATCAGTTGATAGCCAAGAGATTACAGCAATTTCTTTTCTATCTATTATTTCTCTCAGAATGCAAAGTCTCTTATCCAAAATTTGTGTTGATGAATCTACTGCATCATAGAGACAGGAATTGTCAGTTTTACATATAATTTGTATATTTTCATTTGTACTTTCTTCATCCATCTCATTCTCTTCAAAAACTCATATTTTTGGAGTTTTATCAGGCCCTTTTTGTAAGGTGTTGGGCATCAATTCCATTATTGTATAATCTTCAGAACTTTGATATGCTTCAAAGTAGGGAACAAAATGGGATGGATGCACTGTCACATATGTACTGCCATGTTTTACAAGTACCTGCTTATGCTCCCACTCTGTGACAGTTCATGGACCAAGCCATCTATCACATATGTTTTGTTTGTAGAGAACAGTATCACCATTTTTGTCTGACTGCACTATATTTGTTTGAACTTAGTGACAAAGTGCACATCTTAGTTTTTCTGAAGACTCACATGCTATGAAATGGTTCCTGGCAGCATGCACTGCATTGAGGTTGTTTGCAATAACTTTACTGGTAAAAATACATTCTAATGTAATTAAAAAAGAAGGCAAGTTGGGATTCTTGCTAAAAACAAGTTGGTTAGGACACTAGAAGCATGGACACTGTGAAGTGCATTTTGGCATTTATGGCCTATGCAAGTGCTACATTAAAACTACAACTTGTTTTTTCAATGTTTTCTTTATCATTTCTCCCAGTATCCTATTGGGTTGTTCATGCAAACCATTGCTCCATGGACTTTCAGCAACAGTAGTGCATACTACAATATTCAAATTCTGTGCCATGTCCCTAAATGATTGGTTATTGAACTCACTGCCATTGTCAGTGAGAATAAATCCTGGGGTGCCAAAATATGCTATCCAGTGTGGGAATATAGAATTAAGAATGTCAAAACTTTCCTTACTTCAACATGGTATCTTGTACCATGATCAATTAGATGCAATGTTTTTTTTTTCATTAATTTCTTTTATGTTTATGGGAATGCTTTCAAAAAAATATGATCCTAATGAGAATCCAACAATGGGCCTGGGTCTTGTCTTTTTGTATTGGATGCATATTTCACATGAATTAGGAAGTTCTTGCAAGATTTTTATGAATTCAGTCTCTTTTATTCCTGCATTTTTAAACAGATCACACAACTTTTATTACTTGGATGGCTGACTTGTCAAAATGTAATTTTGTAATTTCTAATTCTTTCTGATCTGTTTTTGGTAGTGCTTTCTTTAGTGAAAAGTATTTGATTAAACTTACCCCGATCTGGTAAAAGTCTGGTAATAGGGATGTGATAGTGACCAGATGAGGTACACTAAAGTAAAACTTTTTTTCAAGCATTGTGACACTGTCATTTTCAAAATTGAGACATGTCTTGGCTCTTTTCATGGCATCTTTGCTTAATAGAAGTGGAATGTCTATGACATTAGTAACAATACTGATGTCAATGTTGGCAATGACATATGGTAGAGTAGCTGTAAAGAGTGATTTTAGCTTCTGTCCATCACTGAATTTGTAAGTTGTCTGTCCTTCTTGGACATTTATTTTTTTGTTGTAGTCTGGGAATGGTTTCTAAAAAATATTCATACTAAATGGTATGAGTATTTTCTGAAAACCATTCTTTCCACAAACAGTTGCAGAAGCACCACTGGTTAAGACTGCAGAACCAAGTGTCTCACTCAAAATGTTGGATTCATTGTCTTCCTGCTTTTGTTGACTCATTATACAATGTTGGCTACAGGTATGTAGTGTCCTTTTGACTCCTATCCTGCTTATTACTAGTGTTATCAGCATATGGACATTGTAACATCAGTGGAATTTTCAGCCACATGTCACCTATCTAAAATGGCCCCTCAGCCTTTCAGGTAAGCCACCCCTTTCCTGGTTGAAGAGTTGCCAAGGGGACTAATGGCGAAGATTAACAACCTTCATTTTCAAAGATGACAACAAATGAGACGACATATTTTCAATTTTATGTATAAAAAGATCTATTTCCCCACCCCGAAATATTTTGAAAGCCTGTTTTCAATTTCTTCATTTCTAAATATTCTGTCACTTATAAAATGTTCTTATGACTGAAACAAATGAATATCTGTAGGTGCTAAATCTAGTGAGTATGGATGATGCAAAAGAACTCATATATAATAAATAATTTTATTTTTCCTTGGTTTCTTTGACAGAGTGTACACTTGCACTGTCATATTGAAAATAATATCTTTTCTATTTACCCAAAGGGGGACATTCAACGTAATGCATCATTTACCCAATCTGAAATGCACTATGAACAATATACTGTCAGATTGAAGAGGATAATCTAATTCTAGATACATTCCTACAATTCAAAATCGGTTGGACAAAAGTGTTCAGAATTAGAAAACATTTGGACAATTTCTACACTCATTGAGTCCAGAAAAGGAATCACTTTTATACATATAAGAAAATATCATAAAAATCTTAACAAAGTACCCTGTCATTTTTTTTTAACAATATATATATATATATATATATATATATATATATATATATATATATATATATTCTCTGCCTCTCTGCCTGTGAAGAGCATTTGTTGGATTTACGCCTTTTCTAGATTTTGGTCATGGGAAAGAATGGCCATTACCTTAATGTGCTGGCACAATGTTGGTAGTGGGCAGATATGACACAGTTGGGTGATCATGTCTCTTCTTGATTCATAATCGCCAAAGTGTATTTGTGCATGTGAGTAGAACAAACCAAACTGGAATTCAAACTCAGCCCTCCAATTTCTCATTCCAAGCCATTATCCATTCCACCACTGACACATCCAAATTTACACCACCTGTTATTTGTAAGTAGTCACCCACCTTGGTACTGATCAGACTCAATGTAGATTAACTTCCTTGATGGGAAGAGAATTGGTGTTTCAACATGATATGGCCATAAGTTAATATATATATATATATATATACAGGGTACCCATAAAGTTCGTGTGCACTTTAAAAAATTTATAACTTTCAAGTGTACACGAACTTTATGGACACCCTGTGTGTGTGTGTGTGTATATATATATATATATATATATATATATATATATATATATATATATATATATAAATATTGTCAGCTGTCAATATACCACATAACACCCTTGAGTGCTTAGCCTTGGAGCAGGTAGAATGGAGATCAATATGTTTTAGTGGACTCAGCAGTTTTCAATCTACTTGTCTGAATCATCTTCAAGAAGGAGAGCACAAACTAAAAAGGTCAGCCAATATAACAGTGATCTCATCTCAAAATCCTCCTCTTGCTCCATATGTGGCCTCCTTTGTAAATCACTAGTGGGTCTTAAATGCCACTTAAAAATTATCGCACAAAATTTCTGTGTAACTGAATCAACTAAGCTGTCAGATCCTCATATGTTGAAACCGATGGGAGAGTCCATTATATATATATATATATATATATATATATTATAATAAA